CCAAAAATGGCTCCATCTGGTGATTAAGAGAAGTCACCAGCACCGTTTGGATTCGGCGTTAAACTGTAAGTCCTTCGCGATGGGGAAGGCAACGGGATACCACCCCATTATAATTATCCTAAGAGAATCTTCTCATTTGATATGGAGTCGGCCATACAGGGGACGATCACCATCCCCAGTAATGGAGTAACGACTTGATTGATTGATATCGTGTGCGTATCACGCGAGAATATCGATAGCCAAAAGCATGCGTTAAATAAAAAAGTATCAAATTGTTCAATCATGATATACAAATATCTAGATGCAATCGAAACATGTCTAAATCAAAAATGAAAAGTGTTAATAATAAACGTATGAATAGTCTAGCTTTAATATATAAATTCTGCAATCAATATGATGTTATTCTCTTAACTAAAATGTCGACTACTCTCTAAATTTCTTGGAGTGAAATCTCACTCTAAAAGAGATAATATTATATTGTTAAATTTATGTTTATTAAAAAAACCTGTAAAAAGAATTTATATATAAATTATATTTAAGTTATATAATTATAATAATTATAATTAATAAGAATATATTTAAGTTCGCTTTGCGTTTTTGTAATTGTAATTTTATTCTCTCATTTTCTGGTAGGCGTTAGAGCAGCAGATTTTGCTGGTGCCTCATCATTTTGTGCATCATGTACATTTAATTTCTCTTGTTTAACTCTATAGTCGTTTTATTTTCGTTTTATTTGTAATTAATGCATAAATAAATAAAATTAAAAATTAAAATTAAATTAATAATTTTATAATTTCTTAATAATTCAATTTTTCTCGACAATATCTTCTAACATCGCGTAATTTTTGTTTTCAATTTCAGCATAAACACAAACATTTTATAAGAGTATAAAGCGGAGTGTAAAGACAGGACTGTCGTGTCTATAATTTCTGACGATGTTAAATGTTAGATTTTTTACGTCGAAGTATACCAAATCTACCGTTCGTGGACTATTATGTATTCCGAAAAAACAGATTGAATTTCGCAGCGTTCGATAAGCAGCTCAGCAATTCGTCGTTTGATGCAAATGCGAATTGCTGTCGCGTGGGCGTACGAATGCGTCTCGCTCGTTCACTCGCCGGCTCCGCTTGCCCATTCGCGGCTTCATAATCGAACGCACCGATTTTCAAGGATTACCACGTGCCAGCGCTATTCCTTTGCGAGCGAAACGGCCGCACTCGCACGTCACTACTTCCAGGGAGAGTGAAACACCTCGACCGTGTAAAACCGCCGTCGCACACGCGCGAAGCGAAGTTACGTCGAGCGTGTACGACAATTTTTGCAGCAAGAACAAGCAAAGCTGAGAGCGCGATTAACCCTTGGCGCTCCCGAAAACCGGATCGCGCCGGTTTTCGTAATATTTTTAGAAATAGCTCTGCCAAAGTAGACTTGTTACCGCATATAAACATTAGAAAAACATCGATATGCAAGGTTTCGATACGTCGTACGCAAGATTTAAGACCCGAGAGTCAAACTGTTGTCATTTATCATTAAACAATAGGCCGTTTATACGTTAAGAAAAGAATATGAAATGAAGATGATCATTACGGAAAGAAAAAAAAGAGAAAAGTATTTGTGATTATAATTGTATGATAAAATATTATGATTAGAAGCTCCATTTTTATAGTTATTATTGCTATAATGTTAGTAATAATAATTACATTTATGATTCTATATGTACCAAAAAATGTATGGTTGTTCCCGGAAACGACTATAAATTTCACAATCATTTTCGGAATAATATATTTTTTTGAATAGATCTATATGTAAATATAAGTAATTACTAATATTATAGTAGTAATAATTATAAAAATAAAACTTCTGATAAAAAATTTTAGAATGCAATTATAATCATAAATACGAAAAACTTTTCTCTCAATGTAGAAGTTTATATTAACGTGATTCTCCAGACTTTTAATTCAGATCGTCTTCACTTCATAGAATCTTCCTTTTAAATCTTAATTATTTATGTGTCAAGAGGTAGGAATAAGACGGAATAAAAGATGATATTCGAGATTCTCTCTAAAGAACATTCCAAATTAATCGTGGGATCTGTCGTTAAAATTTGATGTAATGAGAAAATAAGACAGCCGAAATTCTATAGTAATTTACGAAATTACGCAACAGATAACGTAATGACAGACGATGTGGTCAATTAGACGGAGATCCGAATTAGATGGAGTCATCATTAGGTTCGCCAGTGATATTGGGCAATATAATTGGCCAGACAATCGATCGTCACGTGGCAGATCGAGCCTGTTACTTAATCTAATTAATTACAACGCGAGTTCACTTACACATAGAAGGTAGCATGTCAAATAAGACTGTTGTGCAAAAATTCACGATAAGAGAATGATGCGGACAAGAGAACGTTCTTGACCAAAACTAGAAGTAAATGCGTTTATTTTAAGACCAAAGTATCGAGCAAATGCATACATAATATTCCGCGTACTATGTAAGTGATGTTTTACATTTTATCGCGAAGTATTTTCTCCGTATCTCGCAACGCACTTGCAAATGACTTCTGTTATCGATTTGTCATGACAAGCACCAATAATCTGACAGTACGAATTAGATTCGCGATATATGACTCATTAAAATTGATTTTGTATCATATGAATAAGTATCATTATATTCAAAGCATGCGAGCAAAAATTATGCATTTATCAAGAAACTCGCTTTAAAAAAGAGCAAGTATTCCTCTTCACTCATCTCATAAGAAATGTAACACAAGTCACAATTTTTCGAATCCTGTATTATATGCGGATTATGTTTTAAATACATCGGTCTTTGATATGTACTTTCTATATCTTTCGTATAGAAACAAATATCTTAACTTCGAATAAAAAAATGCACTGCAATAGCTTTGAATCCTCAAATTCATGCTTCTCAAAGTATTCACGATTAAACAGATAAAAGCAAAAATATTTCATTGAACTCTGTCATGCCAGTTTCTACCAATGCAGATGAACTTTAATCTCTATTTTCTCTAATACGAGTTAACTTTAATCTCAATTTAGTCTTCTTTTTCTAATTTTAAGAATTATTAATCAATAATGAAGAAAATGAAATGTAAAATATGTGGTAACTTGTACAAATTTACTTTCTTTCTTTTAAGTAATATCTTTGACAAATAATATTTTCTTAATAGTAATTTTAAAATATACTTATTACAAATTTTTAAAAAACTGATTATATCAAACAAGAATTTATTTCCTTTTAAAGAATATTATAAAATTGATCGACAGCGTCTTTACATAATAAGAAATCGAATTTATTTTAATTCAATCATCTTTATTGATGTATTAATAGGTTTCAGAATATATCTTGAATAAATTTTATGCTTACGATGAACTCTTATGATAGATTCATGGATATAAACTTTTGAAATACTTAAACCAAATAATTATTATTTGTGCACAGCTTATATTTTTCTATGTATACTGTAATATTTCAGAAGAATTTCGAGATAATAAACATATTTTATATATATGTATAATAGTACTCTTCTTAAAAGTGTTATTAATTACTACAGAAACAAAATATTGACCAAGTATAAAATTACGTAGAGAGAGATTAGATTACTATTATATATTGCTCTTTAAGGAGTAAGCCTTCTGCATCCACATTTGTGTCCATCTCGATGTATTCGTTTTGACTCTTTCTGCGCATTACACTATATAGAAAACTTTACATTACAGCTATCGTTGTGTAGCTTAAGAAACCATATGACTTTGATTTTCCGACCGCAACGTCGCGATAGCTGATTCTGAATTAAAAGACTGAACGATACCTACGGACCGAGTCGGATAGTGCTGCTCCGATTAGATACGGTCCTGGTTCATACGATGTCGCAGAGAGGGATTGGCGGGACCAGAGAGGCCGCGGAGTTTCGGGAGAGAAACCGGCGCGATGGTGGCAGCGGTGGCGGTGAAGGTGAAGGGGGACGCGATAGCATGCCGCTCTTGAAATCGGCGCGGGTCGCCGGCGTGTTACTATGCTACGGTGCCGCCCTCGACGGTGATCCACGCGAGGATCGATGATCAACACACGCTGATTCCGACGAAGGGGGTGTTGCCGCGATTTAACGGATGTTCACCCGGATGTCCACTCGAATCCCGGAAGTATCGGGATGCTACGTACTCTTGGACATCCTCACCGTGAACAGCGAAGATACTGTTGTTACGCGATAGACGACGAAAATGATAATGAATATGTCTCCCTTAATCGGGTTTAATTAGATTAATTTAATTTAATTTCCTCTTGACATAGCAACTCCTATCTGATGTTTTTCATTTTTTGTATTAATGCGAAAATATCTCCTTAATCGGGTTTAATTAGATTAATTTAATTTAATTTCCTCTTGACGTAGCAATTCCTATCTTATGTTTTTCATTTTTTGTGTTAATGCGAAAATATCTCTTAGAAAATCCTCCCAAAATTAAAAAAAAAAAAGAAATTTTTATCCGTTTTCAAATAATAGCAGGGGATGTATATTTGTTTATAATGTGATGTTAATTAATGATACAAATTGACAATATAACAGAATCCTTCTAAAATTAAAAAAAAGATCTTGATCTGTTTCTAAATTATATATATGTTGTATATACATGTTATGTATATTTATTATGTATTGATAAAAATTGTATCCTCAATTCATGTCGTTGATAAGTACTAAGATATGTACTTGTATAATTACTGAGATATGTTAAATACTTAAAAATCATAAATATTGCCTCTATTTGTCCACTTATGTGCGCGATATCGAATACATGTATTTCGTAATATTTATTGAAAACTATTTTTGGCACGGAAAAAATATAATCTATCTTCGAATCTATCGTGCAAATATACCATTAGAATATATGCGTCGTACAATATGCAGAATGTCTGACACGAATAAGAAAAAAACAAAGTTTCAATATTATATCTAATTATACAATTGTAATAGAACGTCTTACCTTTGCATTTGACTCCTACTTTCCCGGTGCCCCAGATATAATCTTCACCTGTGGAATAAATTTAAAAATCAATATATATTTCTATAACTAAATGAAATTTTGTGATTTTTCTGAATCACAATTGTAATTATTTAATATAAAGTAGATAGTTTGTTCATACATTTAATATGGTAATTAAATAAATGACAAGAGCAAAAAGATGTGATAGACGTCCATTTCTATCATTATAGATTAATTTTAATCTCGGTTTAATTTATTTTTTATCTTTTTTTAATACTTGGAACTAAAAAAAAATAAAAAGTAAGTGAAACCAAGATTAAAATTAATCTATATTGGTAGACAGGCATGAGAATAATTAATTTGATAAACTTAATTTCTTCTACATTAATACTAATTTGGTTCATATAATGAATAATATAAATTGTAATTAATGATGTACTTACAATGTTTACAGAGGATGGGCGTTACAAAGTATACATCTATGAGGACGTGATTGTAGGAGTTGTGTTCCGTGCTCGTGGAATCTGCTACATACGCTGTAACAAGGAAGTGACGAATTAATGAGCGGATTAATCTAATACAGTAAGCTATGGAAGTAACGCTTGATATTCTATATTCAATGGTATTATAATATTTACCATACGGCCCATTGCTGAGCGTTACATAAGACGACTCTTCTTCATTGTGAGTGTCGAGATACGGCGACAGGCTTCCTTTCAGCATTAGGACTTCGTCGGTTGTAACCTCCGCGTCTAAATACAAATCACGCAGATATAAATATATATAACTGACATAAATTATGGAAATAAACGAGCATTTAAAAGAATAAAATTGTCAGATATTGCTCATTTACTTCAAGTGACAACTAAAAAAATTTTTTTTTAATTATTATCATAAATGAATTAGTAAACATTACCCTATCATCAAAAAAGTGAATTTAATTTTATGAAACCAAAATTGTCACAACTCAAAGAGTAGAGTTTCTAAAAAAATAATTATCAAAATCGTCAAAACTCAAAAGAGGTGGTTAAGAGTTATGAAACAAAAAAATAAAATAAAATGACATTTGATCACATTAACAAAATTTGTTTTGTCAATATTGTATAATCAATAATTTTCTATAAAATTAAAAAGTAAGTTTTCTCTTTTTCTGGGAAACTTGATTTTTTTGAGTTTGTATCGCTTATGAAGTAAGAGTGTGAAATGACAATTATTTTTATTCATATATTCCTAGTCTATTAATATGATAAATTTCGTACCAGGCACAAAGTCTGCTTGCTTATTTCTTGAGTCGCACGAGACGACACCAATTTTCAATCTTCTCGGAAGTAGCGCGATAGTAGATACTCGCAAAGGAAACGATCACATCAGTAGATCATCGTCTCCATAGAAAAGAGTACGCGAGTTTACTCGTTTGTCAGTCACACATGGCATGCAGCAAATGTAAACAATCTCGTGGAATACAACAATCACAGGACATAATCTTTCTCGATTCTTACGCATCCTCCTCAGGGAGACTCAAAGCATTTCTTTTATCGCTTTACTTGAATCGTATTAGAAGAGGCTTTTATTTAATTCCAAATTATTTGCGGCTGTTTGAGCATTATTTAGGAAAGCCGATCTTTGTGCAATATAGCTTATCTTCTTCTTATTGGGCACATACAATTTGATTCTCATATGTTTACATCTAATTATTAAAAATAATGATTTACTCTTCGTTAAAAAAGCTACTTCTGTGTTCTTATATAATGTTATATCCTTTTAAAAATTATCTTTATCGCTGTACATAAATACGTAAGATGCAGTACGACAATGTTGTCCCGACAACGTTGGTTCATCCAATATGTCAAACTTCTCTACAGTAAGGTAATATAAACACTGTAACAATTATTTATGCATGACCGTGCAATGCATTATTATCTTTATCATTCTCCTTTGCATTTCTTCCGTGGACATCCGCACTTCGAGTGTAATTCTTCTTTTATTTCACTATTTCTATGTTTCATATCCAAGATATTGTGATCAGAGAGCCTACGAATTGTAGTTTCTGAAATACATAAACAATATAATATTATATTTGAGTCGAATTATTCTTTTCAAATTGCAATTAATTAATAGTAATTAAAAATGATTTCTTATAGTTAATTCTGGAATTTGAACAGCTTAAATTTAGAGTATTTTTCCTTTAAATTAGTAAAAGCCTTTAATTTGAAAAATATGTGACTATAGATAAGATAATCTCAAAAAATACTTAAATCAATTTGTACTTTTTCAAATGGAATTAATTTTCAATGTAAATATAAAAATTTTTGCGTGTTTACCACAGTATAAAGAAGGCACACACTCGATTTACTACATTTACTTTATTTTTAAACATACAAAATTAAAAATATATTGTACCATATGCTTTATACATTAATGTTTATAAAACGATACGTAATCATTTTAATGGCCAAATAGATTTTATGTATTGTAATATTATATCATGGTAAACCAAATATTTCATTGTTCATTTTGTAAGCAACAAAAAAATAAATATTTCTAATCACTGAAAATTGATAAGAGCATTGTTTATAGTTGAGTGATTATATTTGTAAGAACTTGTTTAAAAAATCTTTCTTGTTTTCAAACTTATGTCAAAGTGACTTAGGTAGCTTAAATCGCTCCAAGTAAATGCTTTTTAAGAAGCTATTTGCAAGATTAAAAGATCACTCAAACATTCATGAACAAGTACATTGTTTATAAGTAAGAAATTATATTTGTAAGAACTTGGTTAAAAAATCTCTACTGTTATTTCTCAGATCTACGTCGAAGAGGCTTATGTGGCTTAAATCGTTCCAAAAGCAAATATTTTCTAAGAAGTTGTTTGCAAGATTAAGAGATTACATTATATAAAATTAAGAGATCACTGAAAAATTGATAAGCAAGAACATTATTTACTATTAAGAAATTATACTTATGACAACTTGGTTAAAAAATCACTAATATTTCTTATATCGAAGAAACTTCAAATATTTTCTAGAAGCTATTTACAAGATTGAGATCATATTATATCTATACCAAAAAAATCTACAAATCTTTCAGTATCCTATAAAACTCAGAGAGACAAAAGCTTAACGAGCTAATTTTTTCCTTGCAAGGTGCAAAAGGTTCTCCACTACGGAATATCTTTATGTTTAAAATCCAGAATCCGACGATATATGAAATTCAGTCGAAATTACGTTCTTCGTTAGCACAGAGCAACAATACCGTGGCGCACCAGAGAATAAAGATATGCCTCAGGTACTTAACTGTCATCGCAACCGAGGGTATACGTGCACGGTGTACACGCGTGAAACTACGCGTCTCGAGACGAGGACGCGAACGGGAGTTCACGTGCCGAGTGTATGGGTCTCGAGAGGGACGCTTACCTTGCCTGACGTCGCGGTTCGTCGAACGGAAAGTGAAAACGGTAGCGATGAGGATAAACGGATGCGCTACACCACGCCAACGGAACTCCTCGGTGACGAAAAACTTGCGGCGCGGACACCTCGCTCGGAGGGAGAGGGGAGGATGCACGAGGGCGACAGCTACGAAGACGGCGACGACGACAACGATGACGATGACGACGACGACGACGATGCTCAGAATCCCTTCCTCTTCTGCCCTCTTCTCAAGCTACCTACGGCCACATGTGCCGGGAACTTGCGGACAAGTCGCGTCGGATATCACGACCATGAGAGGGGTGGAAGGGGGCACAATAATAATATCGTTTGCCGTGCCGCGATACCATGAACGAACACGGTTAGGCCAGTCTAGGCAGCTAAAATCGCAACTCGCAACGTTCGACTCCAAATCGACTGCGCGCGATCGATTCGATTCAGAGCGAGTGCGATCGCTCGTTCGAGAGCGCTGGCCCGCGGATTTCAAAATACAATTTTCCGAATATCGGATAGATCGAACTATTTCAGGTTTGTCGCGTCACATACTCCAACATGTTCCAATATATTCCTACTATAGTTCTTAGGGCGCGTTCACACCTTGACGGAAAAGCAGAAAGCAGAAAAGCAGCAGCCAATCAGAACTCGCGCTGGTATTCGACAATTTCGGCTTTTTATATTACTTACTACCAACGCGAGTTGTGATTGGCCACTGCTTTTCCGCTTTCTGCTTTTCTGTCAAGGTGTGAACGCGCCCTCAGAAGTATCAGATCAAAATAATCCGCCAGCGTTTATACCAAGCGTATCAAGTGATTTGGTGCGAATATGGTACTTAATACGCGTGTCAAGTGCTCGGTGTAAACTAGGCCATTGTAGATCCGGAGTTAGGCCGGAATCATTGGCTGCGTTCAGCAGACTCAACAGTTTTGCAACCGTTTTATGATTGTCTGCTGAGATAGGACCATTCTTCTAGATCTAAAAGTATGATCCAATTAGCGCGAAGGAAACTTACAACAGTTGCAAAACAAACGTTCTGCTGAACGCACCCATTGAATCGGACTACGCATTGAAGATTGAGATTGAAGATTGAAAAATTCAAATTTGACCAATCGAAACGAAAGAAGCTAAAATTTCTTTGTCCTTATTGGTCAAATTTCAATCTTTAATCTTCAATCTCAATCTTGAATGCGTAGTCTGATTCCGGCCTTAGGGCGCGTTCACACCTTGACGGAAAAGCAGAAAGCGGAAAAGCAGTGGCCAATCACAACTCGCGCTGGTAATAAGTAATACAGGCTGCGGTCCACTTGACGTTACAAACGCTTCGAAGCATTCTTTAATTAGTCAATTCGTAAAATTCTTTGTTTTGATTGGTCGCTCAAACGCTTCGAAGCGTTTGTAGCGTCGAGTGGACCGCAGCCACAAAAAGCCGAAATTGTCGAATACCAGTGCGAGTTCTGATTGGCTGCTGCTTGTCCGCTTTCTGTCTTTCCGCAAGGTGTGAACGCGCCCTTACAGAGATGTTTTTATATCTTGGCACGGTCGGACGGAGTTTGCGAACGCGCAGTCGCATTGACAGGTCCCGCTCTCTTTGTCATCACATGGACAAGCCAGTGCACGTTCGCCTTGCTTGCATGATTCGTGTAACGTTCATTTCCTTATATAGCAAAACGGATCACCGGTGAGAGAAACCGCATTATCATGAGCACAATAATTACCCAGCAAGCCTACGACGAAGAGATTAGGGAATTAATAGAGAGCCTCGGCTTGACTGAAGAGGAGGCGATCGAGGATGCTATCAAGTGCTACGAAATGAAAGTACGTACTCCTGCATCCCTTTGTTTACACCGCTTATCAATCAGTGAAAAATATACTTTTTGCTCTTTGCGCGCAATTATGTGATTCATTCGCTTCTCTACTGGAAATCTTCACCTTCGGCATTAAAAAAAAAAAAGAGAGCAGAGTTTCAAATCACGGAATATCTCAGAAAATTGTAACAGATGTTTGTCTAAAAGTTAAAATTAATTTGTAAAGAATATATACATATAAATATAATATATTTATTCTCTAATATATTTATTAGGATATTAATTATATATTTTACATATATATATAATTTATTTATATATGTATACACAAATATATTATTTTGATCCACAACGAACGTTATGAGAACTTTCGTTTCCATCTCTATTTTATCTCTATTTTATCTCTATTTTATCAAGAATAAAAATAACAAAGTTCGAAATTATTTCAAATGTTATATGGCTTTAAATGGAATTTATATATAAATTTAACTAAAGTATGTATCAGAAACTATCTTAGTGATTAATCGAAAGTGTTCTGCTCCTTAATTGTTCGATTAGATGAGTCAGTCTCGAATAAGTCATCAAGAATTTTCGTCATTGCCATTAAAAATAAATACGCAATATTACATGAAATAAAAAAATATTAGGGATATATAAATAAAAAAGTATTAGGGATATATCAATTAATATCTTAAATATTCACTAATATTAAATTATTTTATCGTTATTTTTTATCACATATATTTTTTATTTTTAAAAATTTATGTTTAGTTTAACAATACGCTTTTCAATATTAAATTTTTATTTAATATTTTTTAAATTAACAATTAATCATATTCTTGTATCGTAAAATTATAGAACCTATTTAAAAGATGCACCTGTAGTGCAAAAATAAAATCTGTTACGCGATCTTGCCGCATTTCTTGACGCTTTTAGTTTCGGAGCACTCGTGTCACTATCGTCTATCTTAAGAAATTAATCTGTTTCTTATACCGTAACGTGTTTGATGCGCGCGCTGTTCAGAAAAGAAAAGATAATCTTTAAAATAAAATGAAATTTATGTAAAAGTACAAAAAATTCATAATTTATTAAGAAAATTAAATATTTATGAAAAGTCAATTAGAACCTTTTTGCGTCGAGAACAACGCTGCACATTCTGATCACCGTTGCGTTTATAATTCACGGATGGCATTTAATTCGCGCAGGGGATAGACCTGAGCAACATCGTCACAGATTCAGTTCTTGAGGATAAATACAAGCAGATAGTGATGTGCCTGGAACGATTAACATGTGCTGTGAATGACAAGAGTTATGAAGGCGTACCGGAGACGTTGCAAAAACTGCGATCCGAGTTGGATAAGGATATTGCACACAGGGTTTTCGCAGGGAAACGCAAATGTTACAATATTCTGATCGATCTCCTGAAAGAATGCAAGAAGAACCATGTGATACTTAAATCCACACTGGAGACAATCACTTCATTAATGTCCGGTTATCCAGACTTGCTGGACGACGAAGGGATTGCATTGCAGATAGAGTAAAGATTATTTCGTAAAAAATTGATTCGTAGAAAAAGAAAGTGTATTTGAAATAGATTTCTGATTTTTAATTTTTTTTTTATGACTATTAATTCTGAAGTTAGTATAAAAATCAGGAAGAATAAAATTAATGGAAATTAATGGAAAAAACTTTTTCATTGGGATGATAAAAAAATTAATACTTTTTAAATTTTCATTTCAATGAAAACTGGTTCATTTTATTAATTTCGTTTTGAAAAATTTTATTAAATTCTTAAAAATTTTTTTATTTCAAC